AGGACGCTACTAGGGGCTCCTGGCCGTACTAGTAGTAACAAGGACGCTACTGGTAGCTGCTAGCATTGCTACTAGGAGCAAGGACGCAGTATCAATAGCACTTTTGGACCAAAACAGCACTTCGACCTACGGGAACCCTCTTCGACCGAAGGTTCCGATCGTCGGGCTTGGCAAAGGGGCCGAGTTTGTGGGGGAGCCCGGGATGGGTTGGAGAGGTGGGGTACAAGCCTTAGCCTTGGACTCAGATACATCTAAGTAACTTTGAACAGAAGACCTACCAGATTGCCAGATGTTGCATTCCTGACCTTTGACACCTCTCTCTTGGAGATCCACTGCATTGCAACCAATGGCGATTCCGTCCTTTGGTCCGAAAGGCAGAAGCTATGTGTTCCTTTGTGTGTGTCCGTCCTTCGTAGATGTCCAGAGTCACAGGAACATCCGCCTGTTCTGTTCCAAGGATTCGAACGCGGCACCCTTGTTGCAAGTGGCGTTGGATGATCACACCAAGGCGGAAACTGGCGTAGACAAACGGATGTACCGTTTTTTCAGGAACTCCCCGGTAGGCAAGACTCTGTGCTTATCGGAATAGAATAACTACTGTATTTGCTTTGCCCTTGGAAGGGCATTTAAGGCAAAGTTTAAGGTTGGCTTCATGATATGAACTTTAACTTGAACTGTGAAAAAGGCTGACTCCTGCAGACATCAGCATCAAGAAAGTCACCAGTCACCATGAGTTTGTTTAACTTGCAGCCGGGATTGGGTCTTCGAGCATTCTTTACAGCCGTTGCAGCCGTGTGGTGCGCGTGGCGCGTACACAGTTGGAGCGTTCGCTCCGTGTTGGGGGTGACGGAGTCGTCGCCATGCCGTCTGTGCAAGTCGTTTTGCTGAGTGGCGAGTCAACGTGGGTGACAGTGGAGTGCACTGAGCAGATCTATCGCCTCAGGCACGAATGGCAAGGGTCTGGGTTTGGAGTGGCACGGAATATGATCGTCAAACGCTGGGAACGCTTCGTGGCAGTCTGCGGATCATGGTACACCAGGGTATTGTTGGCCACTGGAGGTTTTTCATGTAAAAAAACATGTATGTAATGTAAACATTAAACATGTTTCTTTTTTTAACCATATAAACAATGTATTTTTAATCCTTTACCGCTTTTCTATACTAAGCCTCAGTTCCACGTCATCCGGCCTGACCCACCTGACCTGGTGAGGCGACAGGCGCAGGAGCAGCTCAAAGTGGGACTCGAGTGGCGCAGCAAAGATGGATGGTTTGCTGATTGCTGTGGTCTTTTTCTGTGGCCCAAGAAATAACTAGGTTGGAGGCCATTGCTTTTAGGTTGGAGGCCATTGCCTTTGGGTTGGAGGCCGTCGATAGTCAGGTTGGAGGCCATCGCTCCTAGGGTGGAGGCTGTTCATGTGAGGGAGGATCCACATTGGATGGGCACGGGAACTACTAGCCCATGAAAATCCGATTAACTGATAGCATTTCTCACGGGAGAGTGAACATTGAAAGTTGGAATTACAACCATCCTGAATACTATGAACCGAAGCATGTCGGATCTGAGTTTGATTCGATTACAATGCTGAAGAACACCATCTTTCAAGCACTTGTTCAACACCCAGTGACTTGATCTGAACTAGCCAAAAAGGAAGAGAGGTGGGGGGCCACCTGTGGCCGTGAGCAGTGCATGTAGGACCTGGTTGAGGGAACCGGTGGGGGCCGGGTTTATTGATGTGAGGCGGCTGTTGAACTCCACGGGGGAGCCCCTCGACGAGCTGAGCACCGTGGCCAGCTCCAAAGTGCAGGAGGGCGACACGCTGACCGCCTTGGGCCGGCGAGGCAAGCTTTGCTGCGGAGCGGAGTCCCTGGCATCCCGGTGATAGCTTGTGTATAATTACGCCGCATGCGCTCTGTTTGGATTCCTTGTAAGGGAACCTGGTAGTATTGTTGATGTGGGTGAAGTAGTCTTTCCCTGGGTGCATGCACTTGCTTGGGGTAGCACAACCTTGATGGACCCCTCGGGTGAGCACAAGTTCACGTGTTGATCTGCATTAGCTCTTTACGATGCCGCTTTAGACGGCCTGTCTAAAACCTGCAATGGCCCTGTGCAAACTGTATGGCGATTGGCCCAAAACAGTATTGTTTAAAAGAGTGGTCAACCCTTAGGGACAGGGTTTTGAGACAGACACACACTCATGGATATGCGTACTGACTTGATAGCGGTGCCACACGCC